TGGCCCAGTTGCTTTTGGGCATGTGGCAAGACATTACATGATGGGGATTACATAGCAGTATGGAGCTCTTCATCTCATAACCAGGAACTGAAAAAGAAAAGGAGGAAGGACTGGAGCCCCAACATCCCCTCAAAGACACATCCCCAAATGACCTACAGCCTCCCACTGGGCCCACCCCTTAAAGGGGCCAGCACCTCCCAGGAGTACCAAAGGCTGGAGGACCTTTGGGGGTTGTTCCAAATCTAACCTACAGCAAGCAACAAGGGAGAATAATCCTAACAAAAAGAAAGACCTTCCAGGAGCAGCCAGGCTGGTGTGGCAGGAGCAGGATGAGCAGGAATTGGACCACTGGGACCAGTTCCTCAGGCTGCATAGGTCAAGCAAAGGACTTTGCTTTTGTGCTGAGAGAGAAAACCTCTGAAGAGTTTTGAGCAGAGGAGCAGCCAGGTGGTGTGACTTGGGATCTAGAAGGTTGTCCTAATCAGTCTAGAGGGAAGAATACAGAAGAGTGCAGGGAGGAGGTGGTGTCACCAGTGGTTTTAGCAAGACCACCCACTATCGGAAGCTGCATTGAAGTGAGTGCCGGAGAGGAACAGAGGGGAAAGGAGGACCCAGTAAGTATAGATGGTTCTTAAAGCACTTTCCTATTAAAGAAGGTGGAAGAATGAGACAAGTGACTGAATATAAGAGACAGAGGATGAGAGTTGCTGTTTTGTATAAGTTGGGAAATGTTTCAACAGAGAGGAAGAAAGTCCTGCCGGAGGAGGGAAGTGTCTCATTGGCTTGCATTGCTGTAGCAAAGCCCACATACCTGTGGCTTAAACACTAGGTCTTGGTGTCCCTTGGCTGGGGGCTGAAGTTCCAGGTCAGGGTGCCAGTGTGGTCAGGCCTGGCGATGGCCTCCTCTTGGCCTTCAGAAAGCCAGCTGCTTTCTGCGTGTAGTGCCTGCTTTTCCTTCTCTCCTCATATGGAAGCCTCACCCACAGGATCTGTTCTAACTGCGACTCCTCCACAGGCCACCTCCTAATGCTATCCTCTTGGAAGTCAGGCTGTAACAAGAATTTGGGGAGGACATACAGTTCATTCTACTGCACGAAGGCAAGGAGTGTTCTGAAAAGAGGTTCAGGATAGTTGGTGATGATGCTCTAAAGGTTCAGAAGCCATGATGGCAGGGAGTGGGAGGTCAGTCTCAGGGAAAATAGGAGGCTCATTGGAGTCAGAGCTGGGTAGAAGGGATGTCCCGGGAGTTTTCAGAGGATGTGGACCAGATGAGATTTGCCTGCTGATTTCTGAGAGGGAGGTGGGAAATTCTTGAATAGCCACCTTTGGAGTGTGGCCTCTGAATCTGACTGGGGATAGAAGAAGGAGCAGCCTGCATGTTAGAAAAGCAGAGCTCAGTGAGACAGGACCAGTGCCACCAAGTACACCTTCTCTCGGGGGTGGTAGCTGCCCAGGGGTCAGCTAACCCTGAGAATCTAAATGAAAATAAAGGTCAATGTCGACTAGAGCGATAGAGTCTAGCCTTGAGAAAATATGTCACATTATTATTGTTATTTAAATGATTGTAGCTGTTGTGAGAGGAGCGAGGAACATTAGTAATATCACCAGATACTGTAGGGAGTGTATTCGATGCTTTGGCCTTCTGGGTCTTTGGAAGAGATGAAATGAAACATCTACTTTCAAGGTCCTTCCTGAAAACTAACTTGTGTTTTCTTTTGGCTTGTTTAGAAGATATGTGTGCAAAAAAAAAAAATTGCACTTTTGTCTTTCACGTGTGTCTTCCTTAACAAATGCAGAGCGTGGAGTGCTGCCTGGGTTCGAGCATGAGGCTGTCAGCCCTTTCCAAAGTATTTTTTTTAAAACAGCAGTTATGTTTTTTGGTGTGTGTGTGTGTGTGTGTGTGTGTGTGTGTGCTTTGCAATTCCTGATAGTTATATTCATTATGGGGAATCAGTACATGTATATAGCATTTCTAGATCACTACCCACCCTTCCCCTCTCTGTGTCCCCTTCCTCTCCCCATCTCCTTCCCTGGCTCCAACAATTCTACCTTAGGCATGTTTTAGATTTCTCATACAGGGGGAACCACAAGATACTTAACTTTCTGTGTCTGACTTATTTTACTTAGCATGAGGATCTCAAGTTTCCTCAATTTCCTTGCAAATGACAAGATTTCCTTCTTCATTTTAGTGTGGAATTTGGAGATTGGAACTAGATTCAAGTAGTTTGAGAATTTGAAGTGAAAGTGAAGAATTTAACAATACAGGCCACTTGTGTTTGTTTGTTTGTTTGTTTGAGAAGTTTGTTTCTGAAAAGGATAGAGGAGCTAGGAAGGGAAGGATGTCCTGAGCAAAGTTGATTTGCAGAGATGCAAGACTGGTATATAGGTACAGGCCACTGGAGACAGAGGTTGCAAGGCCTGGAGAGGGTGTAAGCTACACATCCTGAGGGCTTCAGTGACAGCTGGAGGAGGGCTACTGTGGATGTCTTTACTGTGCCAAGATGTGCCTTACTTATGAAGAGGAAACTCAGTCTTGCCCAAAACTCCATAGCTTCGAAAGGTGGGTCTGTAGTGGACCCCAGATCTGTCTACCTGGAAGGGTTGTGTTTTGCTGCTGTAACATACCTGCATGGGAACACTTTTATAGAATTCTCAACATACTTCACATACCCAGAGAGGCATTGCTGTAAAATGAGAATTCTGCTAGAATTGCTCACACCACACTACACCACACCGGCTTATTGGGAATGTTGCTCATTGATTCATACTTGAAGTCCTGGTAATTGTTTAAGGTCAAGGTCCATGGTACTGTCTGGTCAAGAAATACTGAATTGTGTTCTGATATTTTGAAAGGTACAATGATTTGCTCCAACTCTGAACACAATAGCAGCTGTCTACTTAGTTTTTTCATGGGGCAACTGTAATATTCTAAAGCATCGTACACGTGGAAACTATGTGGCTCATGATTCCAACACTGTATAGAGACCTTGAATTTGGAGGCAAATGATGTGGCATCAGGAAGAGCCATGGGAAAAATATGCAATATCAGATGCTTTTTATAATTTAATTGCTGCCTGTTCCCAGACTGAATTGAACCCTGGCAAACATGCTCTTTTCACAGTCACAAAATACATTTCAATATGCAGCAAGTAACATGTGGCCCTGGGGTTTTCTCAGCTAATCACAAGGCAAAGAATCCATTGAAATCTTATTGTCTGTTGATAAACATTTTGTGCATTATTGCAGCCAGTTCTAATTAGATTTATTTTTCAACTCAGATTCTTAAATTGTACTAACAGGAAACAGTAAAATGAGATGATTATTCTAATACAGCAAACATAAAAGCACCAGAACTGCCTGTCCTGCTTGCTGGGGCTTCTTTGTGCCTGCAGTGAAGCATGCCCTGTGTGGGGGAGTTACCAGGTCCTAGGAACTTGGCAAAATACTGCCCAAGCAAGAGCCAGGAACCTTGCTGGCTGCCTGGAGCAAAATATTTCAAGATCAGGTCTGTTGAGTAATAAGAGAAAGCAAATCAAATGGAGTAAATCGAGGTACAGACCAAGTTACATTCCTATCTTTTTCCTTCCCATTTACATTTGTTTTCATTTAAAAAAATAGTCAATATGGTGACAATAAGGCCAATTTTTCATCTTTCTGATATATTATTCTGTCTCTCTCTTTTTTTTGGAGGGTAGTACTGGGGATTGAACTCAGAACCTTTTCACTGAGCTACATCCTCAGGCCATTTTATTTTTCATTTTGAGACAGAGTCTAAGTTGCCCAGGCTTGGCTCAAGTTGGTGATTCTCCTGCTTCGGCCTCCCAAAAGGCTGGAATTGCAGGTGTGCACCACCATGCCCTGATATTCTCATTTTCTCACTGGTATTTTGTGCTGAAACATGAAACCAGTGAACCCTGGGCCCAGACAGATCTTAGGAGAGGTAGGCACTTGTACTCCTATCTGTGTTCCTGGCACACCATGGATCCTCCGCGGTGGGCCTAGCATGGGACTCAATATCTGGAGTTTCTGCCTTGTTCTTCATGTTATTTAGCCCTCAGTTGAGGTAGCAGCTATCAGGAGGTTGGCAGAAGTCAGACATGGAAAAAGTAAATAATGATTGCTTACTGAAGGTGAGTACGGCAGGGTTAGTGTTCCTTGTTCTTTTTATTGAAGAAACACATTGAAGATTAATAAGAACATCTTATCTCCCCAGAGTTTGCTAGTAGGGTTCTCAGGATGGAGATGCCTGTCCTTCCTGGGATCCCTCCAGTGGCAAAAACCGCCTGCTTATTTTCTTGGGCTTGGGATTTAGGAATGAAGGATAATTTGAAGAAATAAGGTACTGGATAGTGACAGGTGGTTCCAGCTACCTTTTAAAACACTCACATCTCTGAGAGAGTTGTTCTGCTATTAAATGCCTGGGAACCTACCTGGCATGCGATGCATATCAAATACTTATAGATATCTGAGGTCTCTCCAGAAGTTGTGGCCCAAACCTATTGTTATCAGTTTTACTGGTTCCTTATGAAATGTATTTTTAAAAATAGAATGAACGGGGCTGGGGATTTAGCTCAGCGGCATAAGCGCCTGTCTTGCAAGCAGGCAGTCGTGAGTTCGATCTCTGGTACCGATAAAAACAAAAAAGACAAAAAAAAAAAAAAAAAATAGAATGAACTTCTCAGTAGCCTATCCTGCTGAAGAGTAAAACTCCTCTCTGGAGGCAGTGGTACATTTTCCCTGCAGCCAAAAGAGTGATTGAGTGTCTACCACCCCCTTTAGGGAGCACTTCCATCTTCACTAGTGAGAAATGTGGATTTCACACCCGTTTTAGCCCTCAGTCAGCCTGCAGAGTCTTTTATCAGACTTAATCACAGCTCTTCACTTAATGAAGGTGTACAGTGAACAACTTGTAAGGGTCAGCGGTGTGGCTTTCAGAGCATTCTTGTTGGGACAGGACTGAATGCAATTTCAGCTCATCGTGCTGCTTTTTTTCCCAACAGGTTCTTAGCATGATTATCAATGCAGCCTACAAGCCTGGTAGGGTATTAAGAGAGTTACAGTTGGTGGAAGATCCATACTGGAATTTTCAGGAGGAGACACTGAAGGCAAAGTAAGTGTTTTCAATCTTGGAAAGTGACAGTTCTCATAATACTTCATCTTTTCTTTTGACACTTGTTGTTCCTGGTTTTGACACAGCCTAGGGATGTGAAAACAAATGAAAGAGACGCTGTTCTACACTTCTGTGTGCTTCTTACAGACTTCCTGGAGGGGTCCTTGAGCCTTTGAATTCCTACTATAAAATAAATATTTGCTTAACAAACACTTGTTTATGATACACATTCAGATTATGAACTTATTGTGTTTCTGAACCAATAGGTGTTTATTTGCATGGAGAAAACATGATAAAGAGAGGGTATCTCTTATCATCTTGATAAATATGTCTGATTGTAGCTCTTCATATTTGATATTATAAGCTGGCATGGTGGCTTGTGCCTGTAGCCTCAGCTGTTTTGGAAACTGAGGCAGAAGGATCACAAGTTTATATCTCACCTGGGCACATTAACAAGACTGTCTCAGAAGATAAACAACAAAAAATTATGAAAAACTGAGGCTCTAGTTCAGTGCAAAAGATCTGGGCTCACTCCCCAGTATCACCACCAAGGAAAAGGGGAAGGTAATGTAAAAAGAGTAATTTGTGCCAATTTGTGCCAGAGATTGTTCTACTTTGGGATTTTTAAAAGATAAAAGGAAACTATGTATGTGTTTGGTTTGGATTTTAAACAAAGTGACATGAGGCTCTGGCTTGACATATCATCCAGGAACTTTCTTCTTTTATTTGGATATAGGCTAATTGGAAAGGTGAAAATTCTTTTGCTTTTTTAAGTTTTTTGACCTCTGCAAATGAGAGCAGGAACTGTAATCAGTGTGCTTGAACTTGGCTGTTGGAGACCTACATAAGGAATGATTCATTTCTCAAGATAGCATTATGTTAAATCATTGTTTGGTGTTCTGAGAGGGCTTTCAGTATTCATTTATGATTAACCAATAAAGACATTGCTGGCTGACTGCTTTTATAATAATGTTCTAAATTATTTTTTATATATAATATTTAAAAAGTGGTGCTTTTGTTGTTGTTGTTTTCAGATACTTTGTGTAATTCAGGCTGCCCTTGAATTTACTCTGTAGCCCTGGCTGGTCTTGAACTCATTGCAATCCTCCTGCCTCAGCCACCTGAGTGCTGGGATTATAGGCATATACACCATGCCTGGCTAAAATGGTGATTTTTTTAAAGAGTGACCCACTTTTTCATGGTTAGAATATGTCTGAACTCTTCTTTAAAGTACTTCCAATCCTGTTAATACTGAAAATCAGGGGAACTCTTAAATGATTTGTCCGATCAGTAGCCTTTTTTGGCATGGTTAATTCCTACTATATCAAGTAGATACCAAGAGATGTCAGGCTGCTACTTGACATCATTTTCAGTAACCCACTCAATATTCCTGATGTCTTTTTATAACAGCTCTATACTTTTAGATTCTGTAAAAGACCATTTAAGATTTAATGGTATTCTGCCAAGTTGTAGAGACTAAGAGAACATATATAAATAAGGAGGAGATTTACTTGTATAAAGTTGCATGGCAGTAAAAGATGTGACTACATATCATTATTTTCTTCCTTCCCAAGAAATACTTAAACAACCTTCCTCTGTAAGGCAGGAAAAAAAGCAAAACACATTTTTCCTGCCTAATATTCCATAGCCATCTAACTTACTTAAGGGAAAGACCATCACCCATGGTAGAGCGTTTTCTTTTTTTTTTTTTTTTTATTTACTTATTTATTTATTTATTTTTTAACTTTTAATTGGTACTAGGGATCGAACTCATGACCGCCTGCTTGCAAGGCAGGTGCTTATGCCGCTGAGCTAAATCCCTAGCCCCTAGAGCGTTTTCTTAAGGTTGGATCAGCAGTAGCGGCAGAAATCTTGATTAAGTGTTGAATCAGACAAATTCTTCTCCTTTGTTTAAAATTTTTTGGTTCAATTTGGTACGATCCAGATACACTTAAGAGATACAGAAATAGTGAAAAGACCAAAATCTTAAATCCCATGAAACGCTCTGCAGCTTCTGAATCAGCCAGTAACTTGCTCCAGATACTAGAATGACAGAAGAGAGTTCATTTTGTGAGTGTTTGCACTTATTTTCATGTTACCAGGTCGATCAGAGTTTTATTAAATTCAGCCTGATACAATCAAAACAGACATAATGAAATCTAGCCTTGCTGAATTGTAAAGGCAACGTATTACCTGTTATATCAAAGATGACAGGACGTTCCCCAGCAAAGTCTTACACAGCAACTTATAATGAGGAGACATCTATCTGAACTGGGCTTCAACTGTGCTAGATCAGAGGTAGGGTCCCCAAGCAGCTGCTAATGATGACAGGTTTACAGGCAGCAGGAGCCTTCCCATGACAACACTGTGTGTTGAGTAACTCCTTTCCCTCTGATAGAATAAGACAACTTTTTAGATTATGACAACTTTGCTATTTTCCTGGGTGCAAATGGGAGGAGATGGAGCTGACTTCTTCACATTTACAGAACGGCAGAAGTGTTTTCTGTCATGAATAAAGTAACACAGCAGAGGCCTGCATTTAAGGCATAAAGTGGCGGTGGCTGTTGTGAGAGCAGTGTTGTGTCTTCAGGAAATGAAGGCCTTGAGTTTGTGCACAGGGCTGTGTGGTTGGTGTCCTCAAGTGTTTGCTAACTGTTGTTTTCTAAAGAACAAAGACCCTTTTACTTGACAGGTTGAAGTTGTCTTTGAAAAGGTTTTGACCTGTAAATATAGCAAAACTGACACAATCATGCAAGTTGTCTCTTAATGATTTGTTCTATCTAGCCAGTCAGACTAACTGTACCTTTTATGCTACTAGGGAAATAATTGCAATATTTGACCAACAGCTAAGGTGTCTTTTGTGTTGTCATCATCAGTCCTCACCATGTTTCAAAAGCAAAAATGTCATAGCTGTAGTGTGAAGAAAAAGTGAATTCTAATATAGCTTATTTCAGCTGTTCTGAAAGAGAAAATTTCCTTCTTTCTGATGACTGCAAGTATTTTAAATTGTCCTACATTTTAAAAAATTTCTGGAGAAGGAATGTATGTTGTCCTTCCAACTTTATGCATCTAAAGGCATTTAAAAATGTTTGTCAAGTGTGTTATAAAATCTTGGAGAAAGAAAATGTTAACTCATCTTTGACCAGTGTTTATGCTAATCAGGAAACCAGGTGAAGGCCTAACAGATTTTCCAGTCCTTTGTTTCAGGTATTCAGAATATTTAAAGAGGAAATGTGCTGGAATAATTTCAAGTCAATTGACTTCATTATCACTCAGGCAGAGACAGAGAAATGAGTTAGATCTATACACTTTTAGATAAGACATATTCAGCACTGGAAATATTTTGTTTCTTCTTTTGAATAAGCAGTGGCTAATTTTATATGTGCTTCTGTTTTTACTCCACCTACCTCTTTTTTTCCCATTTTTTTAAATTTTGAGGCAGGGTCTTGTTAAGTGTGTTAGTTGCCCAGGGTGGGCTTGAACTTGCAATCTTCCTGCTTTTGCTTCCCAGAGTGCTGGGCTCACAGGTTTGTGCCACCACACCCAGGTAACTGCTTCCTCACTTCTTTTTTATTTGTTTGTTTTGTTTCACTTTTGTCCTGTACTCCTGCCTATATGTCATGAACAGTAAGATGTAGTATTTACCTATTGGTGACTGGGGTGGAAAAGTGTTCCAAAATGGAAAGATCTTTGTTGAAAAAGATTCGGTGTTAATTTTTGTTTACCTTGCTCAAATGAGTGGAATTTACTCTCTATAAAATGGGTGCAGCATTTTGAGCAAGCAGAGGAGCCAACCTGATTGAGGCATGAGCTCCATTTCTCTGTGCACTTAAATTCATCCTATTATGGTGTGGAGTCCCTGGTTCAAAGGCAGAGCGGTTTGAGATGTTTTGAAGAACTAGTATCACTCCTAAAATAAATTCAGCAGCCCATTTGTACATAGTTTCTCTTGAAATACAGGAAGTGAAAGGAAAGAGAAGTTTCAGAGCAATGAAGTTCTGTGAGACTGAAAGGCGGTGACCACTACACCACCCCTAGTGTGGGATAATGAAGAAGATGATAATGAAATGAAAGCTTTGTTTTGAAGAAAAATTCCAACCGGTCTTACTAGCTCTGCTAGTAAGAATGCTAGTAAGAATGCTTTTCTTGCAGCAAGCAGAGCTTCTCTGTTTGCGCAGCATCCTTAGAGCTTCTCGGTTTCTCTTTTATTTCTTCCTGCAGTCTTTGAAGAGGTGGACTCAGCTTAGGATTGGGAAACTTGACCTCCACTCCCTCACTCCCATCCCCACCTGATGAGTTTTTGCTACAGGTCCTGATAGGGGTCCTGACTGGCGTCATTCTGAAGATGAATGATAGATCTTGGGCCCCATTGATGTTATCCTGTTTGGACTGCACTGTTTGTTGTGAATGGATCATCACATTTCTTTTTGTCTGAAAATCCATTCTGGATTTTTCCTCCAGTCTTAACGTATGAAAGAAGGGACCAGTTTTTCTAGCACTCCTTTTGCTTTCTTTTTCTGTCTGTTTGTACTCCAGCAACCAGCACTGGCATATGGCAATAAATCCTTTCATTGCTTAGGAGGAAATAATTAGAAAGCCATGCAAGCTGCCTTACTGAAGTCAGGGAGGGAAAAACTTTTCCACAGAATCTCTTAGGGTGTATGCTTGGGATCCTGAGAATTAAACTGACAGAAGACACATTAGCAGGACAACAAAGGGAATTGATTTATGTGTGGGAATGCTCAGTGATGAGCGCTCTAAAAGTCACTTAGAATTTGGGGCTAATGTGGCTACCTTAGTAGGATGAGCCAGAGGAGAGCAAAGGCTTCTATAGAAAGAGGGGATTTCTCTGAGAAAGACAAGTTGGATTGTAGGAGAACAAACAGAAGATAAGAAAGCTCAGGATAATGTCTGTTTATGTGGTCTTTTTATCTTCACTAACATGAAAAGCTGCTCTGGAATGGGGATTTAGGATAAGTTTGCTTGAGTGTCTCTGCTGG